TCTTTACGCATTATGTTATTAACTGGGCTTTAGCTCACTGCTCATATATATATGTAGGTGTACAGGCACCGGACCGTTGTTAGAAACGTCGGGGTAAACTCCAGTTTTGTCAAGCCAACCTATGTGCCTCACTGCGAGGTTCCGAGTCCGTTCAAGCTAAGGCTATGGGGTGTTTTAGTTTCCCCCTTTCTGTTCTGTTTTGTATAGACTGTATACACTGTTACTGTACTGTTTTAATAGGGATTAAGTCCTTGTCCTGAACGATTGCAAATGTTGTACATACTGTTTTGCACTGATTGTATATATGTATGAAAAGTTTTTTTGCATACAGACTGTCATAACTCATTGGACATTGTTTATTTACTGATTTGGCTTCCGTCATGCCCCTGTACTCTGTATTACTGTTTTACTGTTAAGCAGGCCTTCGGTAATCTCGAATTACTAGCCGGTTACGGTGCTAAACCCATAAGGACGAGTTTGGGTCGTGACATTGCTCTTCTTGACTTACGCCATCGCTGGTTGAGTTCGTTGCTTTCGAGAAGTTCTGTAACGCCCTCAAAATATCAACATTAAACCCATCCATATAGAGACATGCATTGATACATAAAAGTCCACATTCATCTATTCATCAGAGTATTTCATTACAAAAATATCACATTTGACAACAAAAGCAAATGCCCTACGGGCTTACAGCTTTCCAAGTTAACACTTGGTTACAAAAGAGGGTACTAACTCAATTACACAATAAGCCCTTGGCTTGAAATTTACACGTAACACATCCAAAAGGAAATAAGACAACAAAAGTTTGTCCGCCTCTAGCCTCCCAAGCTATGTCCTTGGAGGTGGCATGCTACCTGTACCTGAAAATGATGTTCCCATATAGGGTGAGCCACAGCCCAGTAGAAATATACTAAACTAACTATGAACAACGACTAAGAAATTAGCAACTGATAGATGGTCAACACTGACACTTCCATTTACATCTTATTACGTTTCCATGACGGTTAAGTCTAGGTTACAATTCACCTTCCCTTTCTTGTTCAACTTTGAGTTTGAAAACAAAGCTCAGTACTCTGGCCAAAACATTTGATGGGATTATAGTTCATCACTAGAATATTTTTGAAATTTGAGGTGGATACACATTTTGGTGTTGTATCGATAGTACATGAACTACTTCTATACTTCACAAACGATGATGACATACATTTTAGTGCTATATCAAATCAAACAACTTTTCAATAGATAAGTGTATGAGCTATATCACTACCACAACAGACAAGCATATGAGCTATATCAATACTTCAACAAATAAGCATATGAGCTATATTCAATACTACAACAGATAAGCATATGAGCTATATCAACATTCCAATAGATAAGCATATGAGCTGTATCAACGTTCCAATAGATAAGCATATGAGTTGTATCAACACTTCGATAGATAAGCATATGAGCTGTATCAACACTTCGATAGATAAGCATATGAGCTGTATCAACGTTCCAATAGATAAGCATATGAGCTGTATCAACACTTCGATAGATAAGCATATGAGCTGTATCAACGTTCCAATAACCGGTTTAGAGGTACATCCCCCATCTTCCCCTAAACCGTGGAGTACATCCCCCATCTCCTCCCATACACAAGTAATGCATATAAACACAGAATCACATACGCAATCAATCAATACATAAAATTAATGTATTCTATCAACCGTCTACACATAATGCATATAAACACATTGGTCACATGCACAATCCACAGATACATAAAGTTAATGTATTCTATCAACCGTCATACTCTATGACACATCCAATTGATTAGTTTTAGTTTCCCTAATCATCATGCATTGTCTACAACAATCAACACTACCCTCCACCGGTAGCCCAAAGCAATTATTTCTAAGCAGGAAATAAATGCACAAGTGGATAATATACCAACATTTCAACTAGATGAGCAATAAAAGATTCGACTACACTCTTTAGTCCCACACATCCCAATTTCAACATTCTCAATTCAATTCCTCGTTTTCTTCAATTAATTAAATGCATTAATTAATTAAACCAATTAGGGCAAATTACCATAATTCACAAAACAACCCTAAGGTTCCATTTCCATCAATGTCCCGACATTAATCTCATTTCTCTATGCCTAACATGCATATAGGTTTACATATCTAAAACCCAACTTTTACAAAATTTCACAAAGGTCCAAACTTTCTCAAAATTACCCAACAACACCCAACATATCAAAATGCTAAAATTCAAAGACAAAGCTCATAAGATGGAGTAGGTTATCCCTACGTCGAATGATGGGACTCCACGAAGGAGATGAAGAAACGAAAATGCTCCAAATCCCGAAATTTTCAGATTGGGAGATAGCCCTCGACGATCAACACAACTTTTGTAAAGGCCCAAGGTGAGAAAACAACTCCTACTAGATCAATCCTAAGAGAGAAGTTAGGGTTTTAGTGTGAGGAACTCTCAAAATAGCTTTTTGGAAAAGTAAGAGAGAGAAAGGATGTTGAAAAGTGAACAAAAAGGTCGGATCTCGGCTTTATATAAAAGTAGCCCCGCTCGAGCGGCAAAATCCCCGCTCGAGCCTCACTCACAGATCCCCGCTCGAGTGTCCAACCTCCCGCTCGAGCGGCGGATGCACGTTCCCAGAACTTTTACAGACATAGTTCCCGCTCGAGCGTCAAACTCCCCGCTCGCGTCAGACGCAAACTCCCGCTCGAGCGGCCAATCCTCCGCTCGAGCGTCTACCGTTGCAGACGAAATACTGGATGGCTGATTTCCCCGCTCGAGTGCCAACACCCCCGCTCGAGCGGACAAGCAACAACAGAGTCCCGCTCGAGCGTCAAAAGCACTGCTCGAGCAGAGAGACTAAAAGCTGGGCGAAGATTTTACGTTTTAAACACAACCAACTTATTCCCAACTTGCCCAACACAACCCAAAGCTCGAACACAAGGAGTAAGGGATAGAAAGAGGATAAGACAACAGCACCCTTACGAAACCGAATCCGGATTACAGTTAAGCACAAAAAGAAAAACCGGGATCGCTATAAGTTCGCGTCGAATTTGAATGTGATTGGGACGTTTGTGCCTCGAATTGAGCTCTGAGATGTCAGACGAAAGAGAGCTTGGGGAGTTGTTGTGAGAACATATTATAAGAGAAAGAAGAGAATGAGATTAGAATTTGAATCTCCAGCAGTAGCAAAAAAAAAAAGAGTGTGGTTTTGCATTTTGTGGTTAGTGGTGGAGGAAGGATGGTGGTGATGGCGGTTGTGAGGAAGTGATGGCGAGGTGAAGGGTGGTCAAATATGCTGAACATGAAGAAGAGAGAGAGAGAGAGAGAGAGAGAGAGAGAGAGAGAGAGAGAGAGTTGGTAGAGGAGGTTGTCGGTCGAAGTAGAGGTGGAGGTGGAGGTTTAAGGTTAGGGTTGGAAAGATATAAATGGGTAAAAATGGAAATTAGTGTTAGGGCAAAATTGAAATAAAAAAAAAATAAATAAGGTGGTGGTCCAAAGGAAAAAAGTAAGTGCTAATATCAGTACTCTAAATCTACTTTTCTAAAATCAATAAGACTAATTGATGTATAATAAAACTCTTGGGGCTAATCAGATCACTATTTCTCAAGTTGACATTTATGGATAAATTTTTCATAAAAAAATAGATAAAAATTTGCTATAAATAGAAGCTTAGTTATATTTAAGTTTATAGTTTTCTCTTCATCTATTTATAAAAAAAAAAAAAAAAATAAATAAATTAGGTTTGTTTTGAAATATTTCTATTTCTATTTATAAATATTTAAAAAATTATAAACAAAAATTTATTTGGAATGCATTTATATTAAAAAAATTTATTATCACAAAAAAAAAATTAATTTCACTTATTAATTTTTTTTGTCCTTGTCCATTCATCATTCACCTCTTCCCCTCCACTAACCGTCACTAGCCACCACAACCTCTAATCATTGCATTTGGTGGTTGGCCATCATTTTTGAGTTATCACTTCCGTAAATTTATAAAAATTTATGTAATTTTATAGTAAGATTCCATACAATGTGCACTAGAATGAGAAAATTTTCCATTCCAACATGTAAATGATCTATGGCACTGGCTTTCCTCCAGTTCCATATTAGATTCGATGGTATTGTTTGATTTGTGGGAGCTTGTTATGGGTTTCGTTTTGATAATTTAAGCCGTTCAATGTCTAAAACTCATCGAGTATTATATGTTTAAAGACAATCACATTGATCGGATATCAATAACTACATGATTAAATTAGTTTTGTATAAAAAAAAATAGACGGTGAAAAAATAAGCGGTTGATAGAAAACTGAACCGATGAGATAATTATCGATATCCTATCAACGTGATTGTTTAATGGTATATAGTACTCAACGAATTTTACACATTCAACGATTCGGATTATTAAAACAGGACTTATGGTGGCCTCCACGGATCCAACAGTACTCTCCAATCCGATCTGAGACTGAAGAAAAGTCAAGCTGATATGTACCAAATATATTTTTTTATTTTTATTATATAAAAAGTAATCATAAACATGTCAACTAATTTTTTTAAATAAAATACTGCTTACATTACCAAATAAACGGGATCATAAAATTAGTTGCTTGAAAACACTTTTCGACAACACCAGTGCACCACCACTACTTGAACTTCCCACTTCTGGACCGAAAATAACAAACAAACCCATCAAAACCACTCTCTCTCTCTCTCTCTCTTCCATTCGATTAATGTTGCACTGAGAAAGTTTATCCATATACATACATACATACATACATACATGTATACATACATATATATATATATATATATATGCATATGTATATGCCATTGTGGAATAATTGAAGTTAAGTAGTTCTTCAAAGATGACCGCTGGCGGCGCGCGGTTGCCAGATCGTCGGACCTCGAAGAAAATCATCTGCGACGCCGCCGCCGCAGGTTTCGCTCTTTTTCCCAAAATCCCTCAACCACTCTCTCTCTCTCTCTCTCTTCCATTCGATTAATGTTGCACTGAGAAAGTTTATCCATATACATACATACATACATACATACATACATATATATATGCATATGTATATGCCATTGTGGAATAATTGAAGTTAAGTAGTTCTTCAAAGATGACCGCTGGCGGCGCGCGGTTGCCAGATCGTCGGACCTCGAAGAAAATCATCTGCGACGCCGCCGCCGATGCCGCCGCAGGTTTCGCTCTTTTTACCAAAATCCCTCAATTTTGTTTTAAAAAGTGTTTTTGTGGTTTCAGTTAGAGTTTGTTCATTTGGTGATATTTTTGTTAATTTTTGATAAAGCTAGTGAATTTGTTAAGCTTTTTGGTGCTTTTGATAGTTAATTGTCAATTGTGTGAATGCTTCGATCAGAAGCTGTCGATTGAGTCAGTTTTTGGTTTCTCATATGCGATTTTTGTGCTCCGCAGCGGCTACAGCTGCCACTTTTGTGTGCCCATTGGATGTGATTAAAACCAGATTACAAGTCCATGGCCTTCCTGAAGCTCACCATTCTGGTCCAAAAGGTATGTGTTACAAGTCCATGGAAGGTAAAATCCTTTGAAGTCCAAATGAAATTCCAATTATTTATTTATTTTTACATTCTTCCACTATATGACAACATAACTAATTGAAAACATTTTGAAATTTCTAATACTTTTTCAAAGCATGCAATTCATCAATAATAATATTCACATTAAATGAATATATTCCATAATTATAAGTCATTCTAAGTTTGTTCAAAGGTTAGCAAGTAGATAAAAGGAAATCATGTTTGAAAATAAGGGAAAAAACCCGTCAAATTTCAAGCTTTCTATAAGCCTATGACCAAAAGGCGTTAAGTGGGTTACCTTTGTCCGAAGGAGATTAATTTTCCCGAGCAAAAACTATAGCAGAAAAATTGCCTTGCAAATAGTTACAAGTGGAAAGCAATGAACCAACACGTCAGAAAGATATCAACTAATCGAGTATTAGATAGAGCCAAACATGCACACATCTTCACATTTTCAATATTTCAAAGAAGATTTTTGGCATTTTTCATCATTAAAGTTATCTTGCATAATCTAACCTTCATGGAATATAATGAAGTCAATGAACCTCAATTGCTCTAACCATGTAAGAGCTCCGTAATAGGAGTATAAGACCTTTTTCATTGACTTCTCTACCACTCAGGTGGGTACAGTAGTCCACTTGGCTTCATGTAACAACTAACAACTAACAAGTTTTGACTATTTCTCCTTGTAATATCATTATCAAACTATGCAACACACATCCTCATTACCCTCATTTTTTGGTTAAGACATCACTATTAACAAGTTTTAGCCTCTTTGGCTAGCACAAAATCTCCACCAGTGCACATGGGGATTTTCTGGGGAAAAAAATTATGTTCATATGTTAGAATTTTGCACAATCAACCATATTGGTCTAATATTTATTGAATTTTCAATTCCTCTTCTATTATTTTGTTTTACAGAGGGAAACTAATTTTCCCTGATAAATAACTATAATTTTACTAAAATGAAAGGCCCAAGGAATATATAGATGAGCTATACAAATAGAAAAATGATGCTTAACCTTTGGACTGAGTTTTTTTTAGCTTCCTCTCTCCAAATGTTCATTTTTTTTTTTTTTAATCTGCGCATGCTCTTCTTATATATGTTGATGTACTTAATTCGCTTCATATTTGGTGACAATTAGGTAGTATCATTATTACAAGCCTACAGAATATAATACGAACTGAGGGTTTGAAGGGACTCTACCGTGGCCTTTCACCAACATTGGTGGCACTACTTCCAAACTGGGCAGTGAGTATTACTTTTCTTGAGTTACTCTTGAAGATTAATGACCAGTACTCCTTTATTATAGAAGCCATTGCAGCTTCAAATATATATATATATATTAAAAAATTTATATACTTGAGTGCACCTTCATATCATTTCTGATTTTTAATGTATTCTCCCCTCCCATTTTGTTGGATTTCTTTTCTAGACAGTACTCATTGCTTGCTTATGTGCAGTCACTATGGTTACACTACTGAGGAGTTTTTAGTTCCAACGAAGGAATCAGCCTGTGGTTTTCTTGTGTCCGAATCTCCAGAAATCCCCTCTTTCTTTCTTTTGTTAATTCTTTTATAAGTTGAATGCTTCTGTAGTGAAAAAACTTGCTTTGGTTCCCATTTTAGTTATGTCTTTGCAAAATATGTAACTTTTAGAATTTAATCATTGTTCCAGAGAACTAGGATAAAGACTCCAGGACAGCCAACCCATTTTGAAAAATTTATGATGGAACCAAATATTTTTTGCCCATGGAGCGGGCTCATTTACCAATGTTCTAAGGCAATTTTTGTTGTTACTACTGCATGTGGGTCTTATGAATGTTCCAATCTTATCCTTTGCTTCTTCTTTATTTATCTAGTAATCTGTTCTCCCTGGGAATTCTTTCAGGGGCAAAGCAATATCTGTATTTCTAGTTTCATCCAGTCATTGTGGGAAAACAACCATATTAGAAGCTACGTCTTTGGTAATTGTTTGTGCAAAATGTAGTAGAATCCTCTCACTTTCCCCCCTCAATTTAAAAGCTGGATCAAGCCAATCTCTCCCAACAATATTTTTTTCATTGTTTTATAAGGTTTTGCCACATGTTTTTATCCTTCTTCCGTGTTAATATGATTGCTGATTTTTGTTCAGTTGATTGTTTTAATTTCTTTTAACATTTCATACTGTGATAATACAGTGAATAACAGTTCTCAACTTACATTTGGTGCGAATATGATTGCTGCATCAGGTGTTGGTGCTGTCACAGCAATTGCAGCAAATCCACTGTGGGTTGTTAAGACCAGACTCCAAGGAGGTTGGATCTTGTTATCTGCAGTTTCTTTCTAACCTATTGAAGTAGATGAGTGAATGCTTTTAGTTTCTGCGTGCTTGACTTGAAAACAAATACTTGTATCTATAACTTGTGTATGTATTACTATTGCAAAATTCTGTAGTTGTAATTAATTTTGTTGGAGAATGTTCTCCTGTTGGCTGTACAGTATGCTTCTCTATGTTGCAGAAGTATCTAAACTAGAACCACTGCTGGAAAATGAGATGAAGTTTGAAAGAAAAACTCCTTTCAAGTGCTAGGGCGCACACACCAAGCTGAAATATGTTTAAGCTCTGCAAGTAAGCCTCCTGGCACACTTAAAATAAAGTGGATATGAACGAAAACATTAGTAGTGCAACTGAGTACACATCACTGGCATTTTGGTTCCCAATAGCGATTGATGACACCACCGGCAGTTGAATAACCCCACAGTTAGTCAGAAAACTATCATTGTAGACATCCCATTTTTGACCGACCTTAAGACTCAGACGTCACTGATTGAGCGCTCGGTGATATTGCATATTGTGCTTGTTCAGAAGTTTCAGAGTCCCAGCTGCAAGCCTTGCCTCCGGACTTTCGGACTCTTTCGTGCCTTGCCTCGGTTTGCGAACCAGACTCTGTTTTCTCTATTTTCTCTTCCCGAAGGGAGGGAGAGGTCTCATAGATCATCTCTCAGTGGCTGTAGGCTACGTTTCGTGGTCGTAGGACATTTTTCCCGTTTGGAGCCCGGTTTTCGATTTTTCGGAGCCGACGGCCGTGTGCCTCGGTTCGAGACCGCCTAACCACCTCTGTTTGCTTCGTTTTTCGGCACACATCTTATTTACTCCCTTTTGGGGGACACTGTGGCTCGAGAGACCAACTTCGTGGTCGAAAGCCACCTCCGGTGTTTAACAGCCCATTTTCGAGGCCCCAGGCCGCGCGTTTCGGTCCCCGAACCTCCGTTTTGCATCCGTTTTGGTTTAATTTTGGTGGAGACCTTATTTTCATTGTTAGAAAGCTTGTAGGAGGGTGGGAGGCCAGCAATTTTTCTAAAAAGCCAGTTTTATTTCTTCATCGCTCTCCGTCGCCCGTTTTCTTCACTAGAAAGCTAATGTTGACCACTCCTGGGCCACTTTCTTTAGCCCTAAACCCCATATTTGTGTTGTACACACCTGGGAGGCCACCAATATGAATAGGACGGCCAGTTATTGTCTCTGACCCTTTTGAACCCCTCTAAAAAGTTGGCTTTTCTCTCTCCTGGTTCACATTTTCTGGGTTTTGACCACATATTTGTGTTGTGCACACATGGGAGGCCACCTTTTTGGGATGGCCGACCAACAATTTTGATTGACCCTTTTGACTCCTGGCCGGCCGGCCAGGGGGGTGGCCGGCCGGCCCCCTGACCCTTTTGAACTTGGTCGGCCATGATCCTCTCTCCAAGTGTATTCCAGCTGTGCCAGCTGTTTTTCCCCAGATCTTGTATCTGAGAGGCTGCCTTTTGGGGGAGAAATTTGAATTTGTTTTTCCCCCCGTTTTCCCTTGGCCTCTCCTCTATAAAGCTAGCACCCCAGCTCCATTTTGAGGGGTTACAAAAACCAGCTGAGGCATTGATACATACACCCTCTATATCTCTCATTCAACCCTCCAAACCCTAAGGTTCATGCACCCTTTACACACCACCTCCAAGCCTACAACCTCCACACTCCATTCCAACAACTTGAGGCAGTTTTTCAGAGGTTAGGAGCACCTTTCCTTGGTCCAAAAGCTGCTGAAGACTTGTGCTACAAGGGTGAGTCCTCTTCTCCCTCTTTCTTGCCTTATTTTGTTCTATATCTTAGCCCCTTTTGCTTGCATTTTTGAGCTCCGACCTGAACTGTAAATAGTCATATTTTGAGCTCCTCTTCATGTTTGATCAATGACTTTTGCTGTTTAAGGTCTTCTCCTTACCCTTTGTGTTTAATCTCTCTTTTAGGCCTATTTTTGCATGGTATTTTAGTCTTATTTGTGAGCTGTTTTGGATTTGGTCATAAACTGTAAAATGTCTTGTTTTGAGCCCCTCTTCAACTTTGTTGAAGGGCTCTCCTCTGTTTGAGGCCAGCTGCTACCACTTGTCTCTTTATCCCTCTCTTAGGCCTTTTTCTTGCATGTTGTTTTAGCCTCACTTGTGTTTATTTTCGAGACTTGATATAAACTGTAAAGTGCCTTGTTTTGAGCCCCTCTTCACCTTTGTTGAAGGGCTCTCCTCTGTTTGGGGCCAGCTGCTGTCCCTTGTCTCTAATCTCTCTTTTAGGGCCATTTTTGCATAATAGATTAGCCCTATTTGTGTTCACTTTTGAGAATTATTATAAATTGAAAAGAGTCTCCTTTTGACATCATCTTCATGTTTTATTTAGGGCATTTTCTTGTTTGAGGTCATATGCTTCCTTGTATGCTTGATTGTCTTTTATTTTGAGTCTTACACCTAAACTCTTGTTGCATGCTTGGTTTGGCCTTCTAGCCACTGAAATCCAGTGGATTTTCAGTGGCTAGCACACTATTTTGAGCCTCCAAATCAGAGGGGGGTGACCCCCTCTCACCTTGACTTGTTTGGTGGTCATTTTTGGCCTTCCAAAGAGATCCTATCTCGCATGCTTTGAAGTCACTTTCCAGGGTCAATTTGGTGAGTTCTAAGACTACCATATTTGATTTTCATAGTTGTTTATGCCATGCTAAGTGTCCACCTTATATGTGCTTAATAATCCATTGCATGGCCTTCTAAAGGAGCTCATCATTTTTGCATATATTGGTTGCATCTCCATGGTTATTTGGGCATATTTTCACATGTTTTATTCACTGATTTTTGCTGGTTTGGTAAGATTCCATGTGCATCCTATACCTGCCATATAACTCATGTTTGCTAGCGAATCTTGCATGCTATTTTAGTCCACCATGCTAGCATCTTTTGGCCATGCTTTGAACTGGAAATGTTCATGTTTTGGGACTGCCTTGGCTCTGTCTTTAGACTTCATGATCAAATAATGCATTCTTTGTATAGCTATAAGTCATTCCATGTGCCCAGTTTCGAGTTTCGGGGTTCATCTCATGCACCGGGTCCCTTTTTTTTCCATGTTTCGGGGCTGTTTAGCATCATATTTCAGTGCTGGAATTTGTGAGTTTGTATGCCATCTTGCATCCCTTGCCATGCCTTGTTAGAGTTGCATGTTATGCCTAGGATCGGTCTTCGGTTTGCGTGCATGTGTGCACGTATTTCGATAGTCCCATTTTCACCTAATGGCTACTGATGTGAGTGTGGCTGAGGTCCACTCATGTTGGTGTAAGTCCATCGTGCATTGTGTATGCCATTTCATTTCGCAGCATTGTGTATACTAGGTTGTATGTTAGAGCATTGTGTATGCCTCGTTACATCGTGCATTGTGTATGCTATTTCATAGCATTGTGTATGCTAGGATGCATGTTAGAATCGCATTCATGCATGTCATGCATATTGCATAGTGCTTGGGATAGGAGTTAGCCCAAGCACTGGAAAAGAGGGACGTTTCGTACTACGAGTGACGGAACGTGTCTTAATTCCCTGTCGCCGACACTCCGGATTACCCATGATGGGGTTTAGGCCTTGTTGTGTCTATATGTGCATTCATTTCATATTGAGTCGTGCAAATCGACTCCTCGGCCATCATGCATCGAGATGCGTGATTGGTGGCACGATGATCGAGGACTACACTCCCTGAAGAGTAGTCATGCATACATATGTGAAAATACTTTGCCATGCCCCTGTGTTGCTCTTTGTTGCAGCAAATCAGAAATCGACAGCCTTTCGGAGCTTGGCACGTATCCCGAGAACAATTGCAAACAGAGGCGAACTAGGGCATCGCAATAGATTTCCGCGCAAGGCAACTCGAGCATGCATCATCCATCATTCGGAACAGAGCTAAGGCGGTCCACGGATTTGTGTGCAATTTACTGCTTTCCTAGATTAATTTGCTAATTAATTAGGATTTTGTACTTATTCGGACTGTACTATTTATTCGGGACTGTATATTATTTATTCGGACCCTCCGAGTGAGGGCACAACTGTAATAAGTGTGCGTGTGTGTGATGTATGTCTTCTAACCCCACGTCTTTCTCCCTTTTATTTACCCGCTTATGATAGTTGGATTAGGGCATATTTCAATTAACACACAGTATGATAGCATGTTTGCATTCATTCATCTGTTTTGCATGCACCGAGCTCGGCGCATCATACCAACTACATTGCATTTCAATTCCGAATTGAATACTTGTTAGTTGTAGCATTTCGCATGCCATCTTTAGAATAGCCGAGCCTATCTTAGTTGCATCTTGCATGTGTTGTATTAGGCATTTCTGTATAGTTAGGATCATGCATGGGTTTCTAATCAGCTTCTGTTTTGGCTTGGAGTACTCGGTAAGTTTTATGCTTTAGCATCCTTGCATGCGTGTGAGTGACTGCCATGATAGCATGCTTACCATGAGGCTATGTGTTTATGTGATATAAACTGCCTGAATGCCTGTGGGTAAAGGCTGAGTTATTTGAATTGGAACAATTCGTTGACTGTGAGTTTTAAGCCCACTAGAT